CAATAAACAGGCCAAAGCAATGCACTCGGCCCAAACACTGGAGGCTTGGAAGCAGTCAAAATCAAGAAAAGACTTGGGCCTTGAAGGAACTCAAATTGGGTTTGAAACAAAACTCGACTCAACTGGTTTTTAATTAAAAGAAAAGGAGACAGACCCACGTGACCCTCTGTTCTAAGAAAAGTCAACAATTTCAACTAGAATTAATAAGGGATGAACATGGACAGATATAAAGAAGAACGTCTCTGAAAAGACTCTGCTGCCAAGAGATCAAGTTCCGTTTTGTTTATTCAAGGATATTTCTCTGCTCAAAAGAAGGCACCATTTTCAAAAGATAAGCAGACTCTGTTTCTATGAAAAGCAGATAAGCGGAAAACAGGGAGTTGTTCAAAAACTGAGAAACTTACCATCACAAGCTTCAGATTCTTGCAAAAGCAGTCGAAAAGGAAGAAAAGTGTGGTACCCCATCAAAATACAGGGAAATGATCACTTCGGGAACTGATTGTTGAGTGTTTTACTTGCCATAAAATGGATAGAACTCCTTTTCTTTTTCTTTTTTAATTTTAAAAGATCTTTTGAAATTGTTTGCCGCCCAAATATTAAAAGAATCAAAATTCCCAAAAGCATTTCTTATAAATACAGGAGAGAGTGAACAGAGTATACACACAATCAACACAACCAAAAACTCAGTCAAAAGACAAACACTCAAGATGATCACTTGATCTTAGAAAATCTTCAAACAGATTCAAACAGGCCTAGAGTCTGAAACATTTCAATTTCAAAAGCTTCACAACAAGCTTGTAGAATCATACTGTTTTTTTTCCCAGCAAAGACAGTTAGAACACTGTTTTTGATTCGAATCTCATTTCACAAACCAGCAAAACGAGATTTCTCTCGTTACAAATTTGGTTCAGTAAAGCCAAGACAAGCAGAGTTTGAGTTTTCACGAATACGAAAAACCTCAACAAATTTATGAAGAGCCTTGGCTAAGCAGGACAGGTACCACAGTACAGTTCCAGCTTAAGTCCAACCACTTTTGCCCCTTTCAGACTGGAAAAGTCTCACTTTTGCCCATCCAAAAGCCTTCCAAGGCTTGAAATAGATTAAAGCTCTGCCAAACTCAAGCTTTGGCATCGATTTGCAGCTGAAGCCTAGCAGTTGAAGTTGTTAAAAGTCCAGTCCAGCACAGGCATACCAAATCCAACCCAGAACAGAGGCATCGACCCAGACAGAAATGGAAGCACAACCCTCTTTTTGTCTTTTCATAGTCAGTTTTCCCTTTTTGAGCTTTGTAAAGGGGAGTTCTGCCTGAAAGCGGTTCACTCTGTTATCATTCATTCTGGCCAGAACTACTAGTTTTATACTGTGAAAAATTATGAATTCCTTACCAGTCTAAGGCATAGAAAAGAACTTACTTG